ATTGCCTCTTCTCATCATCGTTATTATCATTAATGCAACAAGTGGCTTCCCCTACCCCACTGATGACAGATCCTTTAAAAGCTAAGCTCCTCTTGCTTCTTCAGCTTTGTAGTTGTTTTCTCCCTGAAGGGCATATAAGCACAGACTGGAAATTAGGGCTATATGAAAGAAAATTATTTCCCATTTGGATGCCTATTGCATTGTGCCGAAACCAGAGCCTGGAGAATCCCATCACTCAAACCAACTTCCTGAGCTTCATGGAGAAAAATGATTACTTAAGAGCAGCAACAGACTAGCAATGCCTGGTCACATAACTTCTTGCTCAGCTTTACAAACAAAAGGTAGCAGTAAACCTAACTGGTAATGGGGGGGGTTTCTACTAGGCAGTACAGAATACATCTAGGCTGAGAAGTTTTGACTTGAAGTTAATACTTGAAAAGAACAAACAGGAATTGAGGCAGAAACTCCAAACTTGTACAGATAAAGAAGGATGGGAGTGACTCGAGAGAAAAGGTTCTCAGGAGCATCGATTAACAGAACAAATACAAGGAATAACCAACCTTAGTAGAAAACAATGATTTCACATTTCTTATTTTCCAAATATTTTTCAATAAAACCCAGCATAAACAAGTAGTAAACCAGTAAAAAGCAGTAAAAAACCAGCTTGCTCATGGGGACTTTTTAAAAATCTGAATAAGTTGTTATGATGAAAATAGGAAGTAACGCGACATAAGAAAAAAAAAAATCTTGTCAGAATTTAACTTAATCAGAAGAAAGGAAGAGAGATTATCTATGTGCTGCAGCTTCTGTCACATATATATATATATATATATATATTATATATATTATATATATATAAAACATCTTCAAGCTCTCATGGCCAATGGCCATCCTCCCCAAAACTGAAGAGCTCTGGACTCCACCAGAAACACACAGCATGAAAGAAATGAAATATTTCTGCAAGTGCTTGGGATTGTATGTTGTTGAACGTCAGTACCTTTCCACCTCTGCATTCCCTTGTAACAGTGCATAATTAAGAGTTAGAAAATAGTTGCAACTATAAATTTGTTACAATAAATAGTTTTCCATATAATTACTCAACAAATACTGCACCCATCATTTTAGTACAAATTATAGTGAGAGTGGTGTAAGAGAAATAAATCGGTTCTATTTAGTAACTGTTGGGAGCAACACGAACAAAATAGACATGGATGAACAGTCATCTACTGTGAAGTATGGCAACAGCTAATGTTGAAATCCAAAACTTTGCAAGGGGTTACATACACAATGTGCCAAATAAGCCTTAGGGAATTTTCTTGCATCTGAATTTTGTAACATCTGCATTTGTCAGCCAAAAACATAGATTTGCATGAATTGCTATTTATTCCCCAAACTCACACAAACTAGCATTCTAGGTCAGAGCTGAAATATTCTCTTAGCCCTTGAAACCAGAACACATTCTTTCCAAAAAGATTTGGTGCATACATAATATGTCAGATGACCTTGTGTCAATCTCAGTTCATACAATATTTCTTTACCAAAACCTAAAACTACGCTAACATAGAACCAAACAAATTACTCAAAGAAGGTTGAAAAATGCTGACCTGTTATCTGAAGTGAATTCTTTTCTGCATTCAGCACTACTTTAATCGAACTGGAAGACACCATGGCAAATACTCCCTCCCTCCATTCACACACAGTATATCCTATACATTACTTTCTTTCACAGAATCACAGGTTATGGAATGGTTGAAGGCACCTTGGGTCTTTCCATCCCAGCAGAGCCACCCAGAGCAGGGCCCAGGCCCATGAGCAGCTCCAAGGAAGAGACCCCACAGCCTCTGGGCAGCCTGTGCCAGGCTCTGGCACTGCACAGCACAGCATTGCTGCCTGATGGGCAGAGGGAACTGCTGTGCTCTGGGTTGTGCCCGAGCCAGACCAGAGGAGCTGCTAAAAGGGGCCTGGCTCCCTCCTCTTAGCACCCTCCCTTCAGGTATTGATGGACATTGATGAGATCCCCTGAGCCTTCTTTTTTTCCAGGCCACTGATTCATATTTGAGCACACAGCTGTGAGATAAATAGAAAATAAAGCAGCATCCAGGATTTTAATTTTAAACTCCTGAGCTGTGAACAATAAGTTCCTGAATCACAAGACAGGATAAAAATATAATGAAAAAAATAAAAGAACTGCTTAAAAAAAAAAAAAAAAAGAAAAGAAAAACAGTAAGTTGCAAGACAAGTAGCACAGATGTCTGCAATTAGGCACTGAGTTGCAGACTCTTTGCCACTGCATCACTCCCACATCCCTGAGGTCACCCCACAGGAGAGTGAGAATGGCCATGGTGCAATCGCAACTCACTGCCCATGAATTCTGGATAAGTATCTATTTAGCTGGTTCTGGTACAGCTGCACACTCTGAGACCCGTGTGGCAGCACCACAGATTCTTGGCTACTTGTATTGCTGCCCATCTGCCCAGATGGCACCGGGCCATGGCTTTGGCCATAGCAGGGGAGCCACGGAGCTGAACTACCGAGAGGCTTGCAATGAAAGCACAGTGTAAATAGCACTCCAACCATCCATCTCACAGAAGCATTTCTTTTGGTGACAGAACAGACAGAAGCCTTCGCACATTTAAGGATACATTTCTACTTAAAATTATCTGACAAGCAGAGTGTACAAGAGCTGTAACAAATAAATGGTTGTAGGTGCATGCCAACTTTCACAAGAAGCTGAGCAACGTTTAAGTGCTTTTATACAATTGCACAGCTTTATCTGAATCATTCAGAATAGCAAAATTCATTTTAAAAGTCATTTCCAAAGAAGATGACTACAGAAGTTGTAAATGGGCTTAAAAGTCCAATAAAACTCAAATTTATTTGGCACTTAATCGTAGAGGTGCCTCCTTGCCCACGGCAGGGCAGTGGAACCAGATGGCCCTTAATAAGGTCCCTTCCAACCAAAGCCATTCTGTGATTCTATGATTTCAGTGATGATGGATCACACACTTCCAGAATTTTTATGGTGGTTTTGTTAAAATTGTCAGTCAGAAAAACTTGAGCTATGGGATAAAGCTTAACTGCTGTAAATGAGATCAAGGTTTTCTCTGAGTAAGAAACCGATGTCAGCTAAGTGATGGATCTAGACTGGCTCGTCTAACTGTCTGATCCACTTAAACCCCTCTGAGGCAGTTTCAGGCAGAAAGGGGCACTGTGTCACTCAGGATAATTTCAGTACCCAACAAACAATGATTTAGTAGGACAGCAGCTACTACTCTCCTGGAAAATTATTTTTATGCTTTCCTAAATTAAAATTTCCACTATCTTAAAAAGGAGGAAAAAACTCTTCTCAATTTCTCTTCATTTCCAGAACATCTAGAATAAACAGTTTGATGAATTAACTGGTGCTGAAATGACTTCTCATTTGCTTTGTTAGTTTTTTTTTCCCCTCTATCATGAAGCACTCATTTTAAGCATTTCCACTCCATTGAGTATTATTCACAAAACTAACAGTGACCCTTGAATAAGAATTTGACAATTCAGTGAGATTTGGTACCATGCTGCTGAGCATACCACAGGGTCATGGTTTCACTACAGCCCTTCCAGTCACCAAATGAAAACCAGCTGGCTGCATCAAGTGCATTGGTGGACTGCAATGTCATCCCTACAAAACAACTTTCTGCACAATTCCTGCAAAAAAGACATCCAAATCTATTTTCTCAAGCAGACACCTTTCTATAGCCAATTTAATACTTAGAAGGGTGCTGTTAAAATCTGAAAAATTAACACAGTGGAAGGGCAATACAGGAGTGTGTAACAGCAAAGGAACCAGCATGGATAGGATTGCATTGCAAAGGAAAAGTAAAGGTGCACACCCATCAGATGTAGGCTCACAGGAAAAGACTCCACAAGGCAAGGATCTCCAACCAGAGATCCTTCCTCAGTGGCAGTCAGCCCTTAAATGAGATCTAAAAAAGGTGCAGCCAGGCTCCACCCCTTCAGTCTCAGCTGAATTGCCTCCACCTGTGCTCCCAGGGCTGACCAGGTTCTTTCCCACGTGCTCAATCAGTGGATCAGGCCAGGACTCAACAGTTACCACACAAGTGTTAATGATTATTTGATGTTATGGGATTATTTGGCCCTCCCTGTGCACTAGCACCACTTGCTCCCTGGTTGCTGCAGTGACTGTTTTACCTCCGGGGACGAACAACACGAGTCACATGTACAGCAACCACAAGTTCTGACAGAGTCTGGAGCTCTCAATTCATTTGCCCTGCTACTACCTGTTCCTTATATCTAGTGGAAACTTAATGTATTTATGGGTTTTATAGAAGATAACAATCTTGCAAGTTTTGTTTTGATCCTCTGTCCTTAACAACATAACCCTAACATTTCTCCAATGCTGAGGCTGAAAATCTGGCTAATTTTTCGTGGTACATAAAAAGGTAGGACTGTTGCATTTTTAGACCATGCCAACACTTTGCAAGAGAAAATTAAAAACAAAAATGAACCAGCAAGAGATAAAAGAGAAAATTATCTCCAAATTTCAAGTGCTTACACAAAAAAATACTAATAAAAGCATTCAAAAATTCAGAATATTGCACACAGCATTAATAAAGGTTTCTACTTTCTTACTGCTCACCTTTAACACAATCACAAAAAGAAGGGGCAAACTCAAGGTCCGGAGCCAGCTCATTATCAAATCTGGTTAATCTCATGTTCCTTTAAGTGGAGTTTTAATATTATTTAAAGGAAGAGAAAGTAGGGACATCTATTACTGGAAGTCTATCATCTGGGCTAAAATTAAAAATAACAGCAAATCTTATTAACTTTTTTTTTTCCCTTTCTCTCTGAATTTGTGAATGTTTCTAATAACTGCCCTAGACAGGTGTAACTCCCTAATGCAATAGAAAGCACAACAACGATAACAGAATAGCACAGTCCAAGGCTACAACAAGTGAGGATACACCCAAATGTAGAAACAAAGGAAAGAATCTCCTTACCTTTAAGACCTCACATAGGCAAAGATCTCCAACTAGAAACCCTCACCTCCACTGCCAACCCTTAAATGAGGTCTGGGAAGGGATGGATCCTGGCTCCAGCCCTTGTGGTCACTCAACAGATTACTTGCACCTGAGCTCCCCTGGTTTGGCCCTGCCTTCCCCCCAGGTGCTCAATCACTGCTTCAGGCCATGACTTAGCATTTCCACTATAAAATGTAAGGCACCAAAGTATTCCAAAGATCAATATATGAAACAAGGGAATTTTTTATCTCCAAGAAACAATAGGGAAGGTTTGTTTTACTTTCACAATCAGTATATTAGTTATTTTTTCTCTTTTTGTATTTTTCTTTTGTAATCCCTAGATGAGTTTACTATAAAATTAATTATGGTGAATAGCGTTGAAGATAATGAATTTCATTTCAATCATATTCAAATGAGATGTATGAGGAGATGTTGTAATAAGAGACTCCTTTAAAAGTTCACAAACATGTACTGTTTCTGATTACTATAGTCCTATATCTGGAGATAAATTCTCCTCAGACATAGAACTTTAAACTTCTGAAGGCAGTTAAAGGGAGTGCATATTCTAAAGTTTCGGAAGAGTTTTAAATCTTATCCATATTTTAAGTTACTCGGGCCCAAAACAACAAATTTCTATCTTTCCATCATTACAAGTTTTACCTTTCTCCTTCATTTCACTAAGCTACATTTTGTGTGAATCCTGTGCTTCAGCTTCTGTGGGAAGTCCATGTTTTTAGTACGGAGATTGAAAACATGGTCTTACATCAGAACCAGGTAGGGTTTCAATAAGGAGCAGAGGTTTTTTTATTTGTACTGACCATCTCATCAGACAGCATTTACTGCTTCTGATTCTTCAATACTATTATATTAATGATAAAAATACTAAGCGCAGGATTTTCCTGAATTATTTTTCAAAGCATTATACAAATACTTTGCAAATTGCTTGTAAAATGCCCTACGTTCATCATCAAAACAGGCATCATTTTCCCCTTCTTTAATTACCTAAAATTTATAGTAGCACATATGCTCTTCTCTGTGTGTGTTTTAATCTAGAATTCACGTGCATTAAGGAAAAAAAAAAAAAAAAAAAGCTTCAAACTCTACAAATCAAACCACCTCCAACTTACAAATTCAACCACTTCCTAAACTTATAAACATGATATTTGCTCTTATATATTGTTACTGATTGCTTCTTCACATCAAAATTTCATTTTTACGCTGCTGATACATTTCATATTTCATGGCTCAAAGTAATTCACCAAACTGAAATGCAGAATTAACTGCCCACTGCTTTGGCTTCTCTATCACAAGTGGATAAAGGACAAGTTTTCTAACAAGATTACACTGACTTCAGTGGTCACAACGCTTAATTTCCTATTTCTGCTTTTTCAGTCCCACTTCCCACAAGAAATACCAGAGTATTACTATTATTCCCACCAGCATTACTAAGCAAGATACATAAAATTTTAGTTACTTGCCTTGAAGGAAGAGATTGAAACCATAGTAAGAAAGATAACTTAAATGTATTATTTATATACAAGAAAAAGAATTTGCAGCATATCATCTTTTCCTGTTTTCAGACCTCTAGATGAATGGCTCTCCAGCACCTGCAATGCATTCATCCCTCAGGAGATGATTCTTGGCCTAAAAACAGTTCGACTTAAGGACTGTAGTATTAGCTGGAGACTAAGTGATTTCCATAAATGTTCTGCAGTTCATTCCAAACATGATATAATTGAGCTCAGACTTTTTAAACCACTGGAGAAAGCTCATCTTATTCTTCAGACATCTGAGAAAGAAGAGAGGTGAGAATTACAGATTGATTTCTGCAAGTTACATCAGAGTGAGCACTAAACATTATTGGAACATACCATGCTTGTAATTCACAGAGACATAATTTCTAGACACATATCAGTAAGTCACTGCTAATTACATACAATAAATCAGAGATGCAGCCTCATCAGTGTATCAATAGAAGGAGATACATTGCAAATACCGGGCTGATGTGCTACTGACTGGAGATGTATTACTTCTGCGTAATACATCACGTATAATAACAGCAGCTTACATTTTAAAGCAGCTCTTGCTTTTGATGACAGTAGATAATTATAAACAGTGAAATCTGTTTGCATACAATTCAAAAAAAAAGGTTGAATTATTTAACAGCAGCAAAGCAGCAGCACAAATATGCACACACAGGCTGTATTCGCAGAAATTGCCACAATTATTTTCCCCTTTTAATCACAACAAATTATTTGAATAGTATTAGTAAAATACAAATAGGCTTTAAATCTAAATAAACAGATGGAAAGCCAGCGAGGAAAATTTTTCCGTTTCTTTATATCTTAGCACCCGAAGCAAACCTTGAGTTGTCTGTGAAGCAGTTCAATGTGGACTTTCATCGCTGCTGTCACTGTTTTAGCATTAATGTCCTGATATCAAGTAGTAGAGACTTCAGAGACTCAGGCCAATATAAAAGCTTTGCAGTATGAAGCAATTTTATGTCACTACTCTCTTACTTTCAGAATTGGCTGCAAATAAGAGTCTAAGGATGATTTAATGTGTCCTCAACACAACGGCCATGGTTTAACAAAATAAACACATCAGTCTTTAGCAGTTATTTATGACTGGAAGAAAAGCAAGAAAGAGCTATAAGCCTAGTTCTGGAAAATATTCTGAAGGGAAATAACTAAACGTATGGAAAATGTTTTTCATTACATGTTGCTGCATTCCACTTGCCAGTAAAGTAAAATCCCAATTAATATTCACAGGAGAAATTATTAGAACTAAAATCTTCCAAATAAGGTCCCAGGATATCACTGCTAAAGTGCAGGAATTCAGATCTGACTACATACCAGCAACTGGTACTTGTACTGCATTTTAGAAATAAAATGTCTTCAGCGCTCACAGAAAAGCCTCACTAATTTAAGATAGAAAAACATAAATGCTGATAACTCACTTGTGATAACTTGGGCCCTGCAGTGGTTACTGCTGTAGAATTTGGCTCTATAGCACTGATGCCATTCCCTGTTAAATCTGCTCAAAGGAGTGTCAAATATTTTGCTAAATATCTTGTCTAAATCAACTCCTTCAGCAGACAATGGATCTTCACTCCCAAACTGGGGACTTTCACTACAGTCTGGATTGAGTGTTTGCTATCAATGAGATATGCAACTCTGGCATGCAGACATTCAGGAATATTGGCTTTGTTCTTGCATCAATAAGCTGTTTGTTTGCAATGAGGCCAAACTTAAAACACCTGCTTATATAACTGCAAGGATAAATTGATTCAAAAGTCATCCTGACACAGGACTGGGTGGCAGTCTGATAAACTGGATTGATGTCAATGTCTTTCAAATGCTTCTAGCTGATCTGTCTTTGCAGTGAGAAGAGACTGGCATAAATGAAAATGGTGCATGTGTACCTTCAACCACCATGATAGGAACTGGATGAAAAATGAGATATCTCACAACAGACTCTATTGGAGATACAACACCAATTATGTCTTCTTAGTGTAGATGCTTTTTCTCTTGCTTATCACTGTTATCTGTAGCCTAAAGATTGGGACAACTTTATTCCTCTTCATGTAGCTTTTTAATACATTTTATACTGGCTACTGGAGGGAGTCAGGAAAAAGCCTACTTTGTGGAAAGAAGAAACAAAGCTCTCTTCTGAGTGATACTATTGCACATTTTAGAGTTGCCAAGTCTTATCATGAGCTGAAAAATCCGATTAATCCCGGGGGTGGAAATTAAGAGACTGAGAAAAAAATTTCACAAATCCTATCTGTAGTTTTGTTGTAACCTTCTGGCTGTGTGAGATGTTTAGAAACAAGTCCTGCTTCTCCCCTGTTACTTTTAAGACAGCTAAACTCAACACAGAATGTCAACATGGAGTTCTTATTTTTGTTTTAATTACGCAAATTGTGATTAGTGGAAACCATGCCTACAGCAACACAGCATTTGTTTAAAGTTTAATTTACAGCTCTCTACTATCTGCACTGGACAACCTGAAATCATAAATATATACTTAAGAAATTTACACAATAAAAATATTCCTTCCATAAAACTATCTTCACTGTTACCTCTCCGGTTTCCCTACTTTACAATAGAATACTTTTGGTGGGAAAAAATGTCAGTTATTTTCATCAGCAATTGATAAGAGACATCAGCACAGAACTGAGCTTTTACTATACCTATCATACCCTCCCACTTCTTGAAAAAGCAACCAGAGATTTCTTTCAGTGAAGTTACTGACTGGTATTAAAACATAAACGTGCTTTAGGCACAGAGGTGTAACTAACATTGAAAAAAATATCGCCATCATCACCATATGGTATCACCATCTCCTTAGTATCTTGGGTTTATGTATATAACGTGTGGCTTTGTTAAAAAAAAAAATAGAATATATATAAGTGGTTATCTTATTCCAGTCCCCTTTAACAAAGTTTGAAAATGAGTTAAGATATTCTTATTGTAAAATTATTCAAATTTCAAGAATTCTCAGAACTGGAATCTACATGTTATTGTCTTCATACTGATTTTTTTCTGCAGTGTTGCATTGAACTTCTGAAGTCGCTTGTGATTTAATTGCAATTGCATTTCATTGGAACTCCCAATGCGAGTTATGTACCGACCTGTATAACTTTACTTCTCTCTTTTATCTCCCTTTTTTAGTTAATATTTTTATTTGACTTTTTTTTTTCTCAGGGTCTAATTGTATCTGATTTTCCTTTCTCATAGTTCAGTTCATAAAAATGACTCCTATTCTCAATGAGACACTGTGAAACCAGATCATACACAGTGCAACTGATCTCTGGCAAGAAGGGGGATATTTCCATCTAGATTAGAAGAGACAGAGCTTTTTGATTCCCATTAGGGTTAGCAGGAGCTGGGTAGCTCAGTTCCGATGTACCACAACAAATGCTTGCTTTCTTTTTTAATCCATCCCTATCTTTTACTTTTCATAGGGGAAAAAGTACTCTCAGGGGAGAAGAAAAACGA